TGAAATTCCATCAAGTGTCAGGAGACTCATGAGATGTGGCTTTCCTCTCAAGGCAGACCTGTGCTAAGGAGGAGGGTCGTGAGGTCACTCGGGTATCCTCTCAGTGTTTCCCCTGAGGGCACCACACCCTGCAGCTCTCCTGCCTTTTTTTATTCTAGCTGCGTTTTTAAGATTGTGCATCCCTATATCCACTGTAGAAGATTTAGAAGCTGCAAATAAAGAAATGACCAAAGATGATGCAGATCTCCATAGACCCAGCCCCCAGAGATGGTCACTGAGCAGGCTGGCATGTGGCCTTTCAAGAGGTTTCTGTACTTACCTATATTTGTGCATGTATGGATTTTCAGTTTGTGAGAGAGCAGGGTTGTTTTCAGCACACACATGCTCATGACCCAATGTGGTAAATTTGGACTAGTTACTTGCCTTTCCTGGGACTTGGTCTCTTCAACTCCATTGCCCCATGACCTCTGAACAGCCCATGATGAGCTGCATGTGGGTCTGTGGTATCATTGCTTGAGTGATCAAAACAACAAATCTGGGCATAGTTGGTTCACACGTTCCTAAAAATACCACATAAAACGACATGGCATGGCCATTGGCATGATAGATAGTGTTTGGGTTGACATTTACTGTGTTAAATGGAAGGATCTTTGTTAAGATTGGGAATGGGCTCACATGATTCCCAAATTCTAGAATCCCTGTGCTATGTCAATGCAGGTTTTCTCCATCCTCTATTGAAATAGATTAGTTCCATCAGACTAGCATTTTTCTGAATTTCTTTAGTGCTTCTTAGGCATTTTCTTCTCTCTCTGATTTGAGAACTCAGAAAGTTGTGAGAGATGTTTAAATTCTTTTTGTTGCTCTTTCTCCTTTTCTCACATTACAGACTTTGGTTTCTCTCACACATTTATGCAGTCTTTCTTTCTGTGCCCACTCTGCTAGTTGTCCAAGAGAGGAGATGTGTGTAATATAGTGTAAGGCAACTCCCCACTTATCCTCTGTCACCTCAGCTCTGCCCTATAGTTGTCTGTGCGACAGTACTTCCCACCTCACCTGCATGTCCTCTTTAACCAAGTGTGTCAGGGACATGACACTATCAGCTCCTTGTGGGTAGCAGCACACTCATCACCACAGAGCTCTCGTCCTGGTCAGACATTTGGCACAAACAGGCTGTCACCTGATGTTTGTAGTACAGGGAATATTTGACCCACATTTGCAATGTAGGAAGTCTTGTTAATTTGACTCTAAGGTGCTCGTGATGAATGGCCATAAAGCATTGTATTCCTTTAAAAGCTGCTCTTTTTCTGATTACTGACCTGTGTTTATGTCCCTTGGCCACATCCTGAAGGTTTCTGTCCCCACACTTGAGAGTCAACAGCCCTGGGTCCCTAGCTCCCATGTAGGGCCAGGGCAGGTGGTTCTGTCCCTCCCTCGAAGAGCTGTAATGAGAGCCAGTGCAAATGCTGGGGCAGGCGGCAGGCGAAGCAGGGCCCTCAGGCACTCGTGCCTCTGCAAGAATTCCCGAGTGTTCTCACAGGAGCAGGGCTCTGAGTAGATCACAGCAAGGCAGGTGGACCTCAGGTCCTGTCTTGTGATTGTTAAACCACAGTGGTCAGCAGTGCCCAGTCGTTTTTTATACATGCACATTTCCAAAGGTTTTCCATTCCATGCAAAATCAGTCCAAACTTCAGCCTCCTGCCTAGTGTGAACTAGCCTACACACAGCTAGTGAACTCTGAATTTAAGCCACAGGGCTTTTGCTTGTGCTTTGCCCTGAGCCTGGAAGGGTCTTGCCATCCACACCTGGGTCTGACACATCCTACCAGTGTCTCAAGACCCTGGTAAAGTACCCCCCTGGGGACCACATGTGAACTTGAGAAGCAGCAGTGAGATGGAAGAGCTACTGAGAACTGAGCAGGTGGTGGAGGCTAGCCTTGGAGAAGTCATGGAGTAGCAACAGATTCAAGACCAGTGACTTGCGGGGCACTGGGTCCAAGAGGCTAGATCATGACCCCCTTTTACACAGGATAGTGTGTGTGTACACTGGAGAAATGGATCCTGCAGAGAGAAACAGTGCAGAAGACAGAGGGTGGTATGTATGGGCTCCAGCCCAGAAGAGAGCATGTGGGCATGCAGGCAAGAGCAGTGCCCAGCAGGCAGGAAGGAAGACAATATTTGAGGGAGCTGGTCCCTTCAGTGGGTTGTATTTCAAGGTACCAGGTATAAAAAGGCCTGGGGAGCACACTGCAAAATCGTGCTCATGCTCAGACATTCTTTCTTTCCACACACCTGTTTAAGGAGCTCTGCACTAGGTGGACAATTCTGAGAAAAGCCTGTGGAGGGCACTCCCCTAATCCAGGTTATCATTTTGGAAAATCCCACCTGAAATCATGATGGCATTACTTCATTTTAAGACCTTGCGCATATGTGTGCACATCTGACTTGATAGTAAAAACTTTCTAGTTTACAAAATAAACCTGGGAGGTGGGGATTTTCACAACTATTTTGTAATGTTGAAAAGTTGATGTTAGGGAACCAGAGGCTGAAAAACGAGTTCCTGTGCTTGGACTGCCTTTGCTGATCTGCCTGAGACCAGAGCGTAAAGCTCTGGTTTCAAATGAGACAGATTTTTGTTGCATTTGCCAGTGCCTCTTGCTGACCATCCAAATCTATCTGCAGAGGGACTCCCATAACAACATATGAGAAAGAGGCTTAGTGTAGGCATTAGCTTTATATGAACTGGCAGGTGATCGGTGCCCTTTCTCATTCAGCCAGAAGAAGCAGACAGAGACGACGGGGTGGATTCAGGGCACCATTGCATCCCCCAGATGGTGGGCATGAGGCCCCTGCGAGACTTCGTGGGGCTGGAGGACTGTGACAAGCCCACCCGGAATGCGATGCTCAACTTCAGCTTCTTCATCGCCGTCGGAGACATGGACGAAGCTTTCAGATCTATCAAACTCATCAAAAGGTGAGAATTCCGTTTGCAGAGGCGTCAAAGGGATGTGCACACTCTTAGAGTACTTTCTCCTCCCTTCTGAGTGATATTCTAGGGATCACTAACTGTTCTGTGACTGTCATGTTGTGTTTCCTGGTCTTTTCATTCAGTTGAAATGCCACTGCTCATGCAGACCCCAGGACACGCATGGCATGTGTCACAGAGCCGTGAGTTTCAGCTCAGCACAGCTGGGCGTAGGGGGCAGGTGAGCCTGGCTCGTGGCCTCTGCAGTGCTTGGAGCTCCTTGGGCGGTTATTTAGTTGTTTTGATTCATTTTATGGTGTTCTGGACACTTCCTAGTCAAAAGTTCTGCAGTTGCTAAATATTTGTAATATTATCCCTCTGGGAATAATTGCTACTGGACAAAAAAGGGCTTGATAATAAACACTCAAAACAGTACAGTGAAAATGCAATGAAAATTGCTCTGAAAGAAGTTTTTAATCAAAGGCTGTCTAAAAGCAGCTTCCTCTCTGCTCCTGAGAGAATTCAGCAATTCTTCCCAGGAGCATTTGACAGATTTCAATCTTGAAAGGGTAGGAAAAGTATTCCAGAATGAAACTGAAGTGGGAAGAGAAAGGTGGGAAATTAAGTTGCCTGGAACAAGCCTTCCTCATTTGCAGAGATAGTTTCTGGTTTCTATAGCACGGAAGCACCTTTCAAACTAGCCAGCGACCCTGGTTCCTTGTCTTATTTCTAAAATAGGCCAAACCTTGTTCCGGTTGGGAGGGCCTTTTCAACACTGGCCATGTGGACAAGAGGACTCTTAGTTTGGGAAGTGAACTAGAGTGGCTGGGTGGCACAGCCCAGCCTTTCTCTGATCACTCTTCATGTAATATAAACACGAGCGCAGACTATAATCAACCACATGGCCAACTTTAAAACTTTAATGAACATTTATATAATCAAATACATAATGATATTAAAATTGTACAACTTAAATATTTCATTATTCTTTTTTAAAAAACAATTCTTTTTAGCATATGATTTGGGGGAAATCCGTTGTAGGAAAGAAGCTCAAAGGGAGGAAGCTCAAACCTAAATGTTCCCATGAGCATATTGGTTGTGGAACAGGATCTGGCTGGTTCTACACTGACTGCTGACTTCATTATAGATGATTAGGCCATAGATGCTTTTAAATCAAACTGGTTGTGGCACAGGATCTGGCTGTTTCTGCACTGACTGCTGACTTCATTATAGATGATTAGGCCATAGATGCTTTTAAATCATTCTCAATTGCTTTGTGTTTTTAAAGCCCCTCACCAATCCACCATTTGTTCTGACTGTCCTGAGGCAATATAGTCTTCAAATTCCAGACTGGTCACCTTACTTCTCTGGAAGGTTAACAGCAACGAAGCTAAAGGTTTCTTGGGAGTGGGAGGGTCAGCCTAGTGGTAGCCAAGGTCTTACCCTGGCTTTGCTTGCACTCACCAGCGCCCAGTATCAGTTTCCTGGGCCAGAGGATGGCAACAGTGATTCCACTTCCAGGTGGCATGAGCTCAGGCAGTGCAGCTATTATAGGACTGTCCTTATAGATGTCGTCAGGCAGTCCTTGGGGACATGGACCAGTTTTTAAATGTTTTCTGTTCATCTGGGGAGTTGTGGCCTATTTGCCTCTTGCAGATTTAGGAGCTGGGTGGCTTGGAATCAGTGTAGCATCATGAAGGGGTAGCCCACCAAGCATTTAACTGAAGATAGGCTAAAGATTTTATAGGGGAAAAAGTGAACCCATCTCTGAATTTCATTAAACAAATAGACTTTTCCCCACTTGCTCCACTAATTGTGGATCTGCCATCACATGGCCACAGTCTGCTGTCTGTAGGAACGTGGGCTTCTGAGGCTCCGATGTCCAGAAATGTGACTAAGGGCATGAGTAACCCGAAGTTTCACTCCCACCAGATCTTTAAAAATGTCTCAACCCTTCTCTCACTGCTAGCCCACAAAAACCACATAAAAGAGGCCAAAGTCTTTTTACCACGTGGCAGTGTAGGTAGATACAACACATGTTTTAGACAGTGGGAAGAGGTTTGCATTTTATTTTAACTTACAAAAATAATCAGGCACAAACAGACATTACTAACTCCATCCTGTCATAAAGCCGTAACCATCTGATTATAAATTCTGAGCCACCCAAGGAAGATCACGTCCATTTCCAGAAAATCTCCCGGATGTTCTGCTTTACCAAAGAAAAGGTGGCTGCAGATGCCCCTCTCAGTAGACACAGAATAAATTAACCTCAGACCAGGGTGCTGAGCAGGGCAGCTGCCACTCCTCACGTGCATCTCAGGTGCTGGTCTCCTCCTTGCGACGTGCGTGAGCGTGAAGCCAGGTTGTGAGTGGGTCAGGAGGAGGCTGGCACAGACAATATATGATCATATAATATATTTATATAAACGTAGTAAACATACCTGTGTATCGTACATATGCATATATAAGAAACCATACAAACCAACCACCTTCACACAGGCAGTCCCTTGGTTTCTAGACTGTTCCATTACAGTGGATAAAGTCCCAAGCAGGGTCCCTCCCTGGCAACCCTCAGCATGGTGACTCCACATAGTCGTTATCTAGGCCACGGCGAAACCGAGCAGTCAAGGAGCGGCTGATGACAATCACTCTGGGTGCCATGCAGTCCTCTCTCCTGTGAAGAATGTTCCAGATGAGCATGGCAGCTGCCAGGGTGGCCAGGAGGCAGGCCCCAATGTTCAGGTAGCAAGACCAGGACAGGCTGGTGTACGGGCCGATTCTGTAGAACGTCACCAGCCCAATGACCAGGATAAAACCTGTAAATGAAAGACAAGTATTGAGAAAGCCTTACTTAGAGCCAGGAAAAGGCCTGCAGGGCTCCCGACGTGGAGCCCATACAGAACCACAGCTTCCTTTCTTCCCTGACCCTCTGTGCTGCCCGGGTTGGTGACAAGCCTGATTCATAGAGCCGGCGCTTCGGGGTCAAGCTGCTCTGTATTAGCCCCATGTGGGTTTTTATGACCTTTGAGTCTGGTAGCTGGGGGGTGGGAGGGTGCAGTGTGCGTCCCCTAAATCCTGGCACAGGATAATTTCTAGGGGCTTCGTAAGAAAGCAGTCTGGCCCATGTGTGCTTCCTGGGATCCTCCAGGCATCAGGCTGCTTCCCTCAGGTGACCTCCCCATAAAAGTGACACTGACACTCGCTTTCCCTCTTCCCAAACATATCCAGCAGTAACTTCGTATAAGGTTCTCTCTGACTTTTATAAACTTAATTTGTTGAAAGTGAAAGGAAACAATTTTTCTAAATGTTATTTAGAAACAACTCAGATTGGAGTTTACCGTCGTCCGAATTCCTGTTCTTAAGACTGTTCTTGTTCTTAGCATTTGCTTCTAAAAGAAATAGAGATTTTCTTTCAAAACCCAAGGTGGTCTAGAGCCCGCACACTTATGTAGGGGCAGAAGCTGAGATTGGAGACCTGTCCGAGTTTCCTGCTGGCGCATTTGGTTTCTCCTCTTACTTCTAAATAGGTGAAACTGGTTCTAGAATTTCCCTCCCACCCCATGCCCCCCTTTCCCTGCTTATTTTCCCTCCATACTCTTCCCTTCTCTCTCCACTCTGACCGCAGAGAAGGGGAGGGGGCCATGCTAGGACTGTGGCCAGAGTCTTCCACTGACGGCAGTTCCCACAGACTTATTCGAGTTCCGTTCGTAGCTAATGCCACAGCATCATTACTGTAACAGTTTTCTCTTTGAGGAGCTCCAAGGACTTGATTTTATTAGTTTTTGCAATAGGAAAGTCAGGATTTGCACCCAGGACTAATTGACTGGGATAGCAGGGTACTGATGTGTAATGGAGTTCAGGTCTGAATCCAGGCTAGAAATCCCAGCCACTGGGATGGACAAGACGCCCCCACTGTTCTGCTGTCGAGGAAGCTGGTCCACATCGCCCTGCCCCTCCTTGTCCCCTGAGATTGTCACATTCCTCAGCTGGGAGGGGCTGGATGAGGCAGAGGAAACTGAAAGGAGGCTGTGGGGTCCAGCAGAGCCATGGATAACAAGAGTAAGGAGAGTAGGCAGCAGCAGAGGCTTGGGTGGCCCAGGGAGCCGCATCTTCTCTACCAGCACCCCACTCTCTGATGTGCTGACCAGAGTGAGTCTGTTTCTTGGGACCAAAAATTCCTGGCAAAGATATAGGCTCTCTGTAACCCAGAATGGTCCAGATGGGACTCTCTGGCCCCCTCTCAGGCTCATCCCCATTCCCTGCGCTATGCTCTGGCCAGGCTGAGCTGCTGCTGCGGTCCCCCTGCCTGCCCTACACTGTGATATCCTTACATCTGTTCATGCTGGTACCTCCACTCCCACGGCCTCCCCTGCTTTCCTCAGGAAACCATGTCATGCAGAACCAGCATGGCCCCACAGCAAAGAGAGCAGCGATGCCAGCTGATGGTTCTAACTATGTCACAAGATAGTGCTGGGGTAGGGTGTGGGGGACAGGCTGAGTTTTCTAAAAACACAAGCATCATGGTCTCCTCATCACTGTACCTTCTAGAAAGTATGAATTCAACATTCCCCTACCTCGGTTGTGTCCTAAACAATGGTGACAGTGACTAATCTCTATTGTAATTCTCTACAGTACTCTGTGGGGCTTTTAAAACATGGAAAGCTTCTGGATACTTCCTTTCTGTTAAAAATAACTTGTTCTTTTTGTCATGCACAGTGACAAAAAGAAACTCTGTGATTTCTCTCTCCCAGGGAAGGGTGCATCCTCTCTGCTCATGATTTTATGGCACTGAGTTGTGCATTAATGGGGAAAGGAACTATAGCCTGTTTTTTGTGTAATGAGAATGAAAATACTTTATGAGTCCTCCTCATTTTTACTACGTCTTCGGGCATTTTTATCACCCAAGGGAGCTTGTTATGCCTGGTTTCAACGAGACTCAGAAGGATGGGGCAGGAAGGGAACTTTGGGAGAGCGAGTTAGGATACAGCTTATGTCTGAGATGCGAGGAGCAAGGCTCTGGCTGAACGGGGCTCACAGCAAGGCCGGTGGGAGCCTGAAGGGTGAGCAGTAATGAAGACTAACTCGATCAGACGGAATTTACCCAGAGAGCAGCAGCTGGTTTGCATCAGTCACCCACCCTGAGGAGGGATACTGACCCTTACCCTCTGCTGTGATTGAAACCTGGTTTTCTCCCTTTTTAAACTAAGCTTCCTTTCAGTTTATGTGTGTTATAAGAATATTTTTAAAAATCTGCTACACGGCTTCAACTGCAATTTTATAGCATCATTCATCATAACAGGACAGTGTGAAAGAATCGGGCCTCCCTGTGGCCTCCAGGGCAACCCCCTGTCACAGATCAGTTATCTTTCTTGAGGCTGGTTTACACCACTGAAGAGTAAAGACAGAGGACCTTGAATTTCATTGCAAGACATTTCAGTAGAGACATGTGAATTATGAGAACTGGATTGAAAGAGGTGATCCTAAACTGGAAAGGACTAAAAGGCACTCTCTCACCAGATTGGCAGAATTAGAAAGGAAGGAAACACCAAGTGTTGGCCCAGGTTCGAGGCAGAGGGGACCCACCCTCACTGAGTCAGAGCTCAGAACAGCACGGTGTTGCCCTAGGATCCACAGTTCCTCTCCCAGGATTACGCCCAAGCGAAACTCCTGCGCATCACAGGAAACGACCCTGCCCCAAATCAGCAACGTCTGAAACTAGTCCATGGGACTCGATGAGCTGTGGGCAGCTGGGACAGAAAAGGAACAAGTGAACGGCTGTGTGAGCAGCACTGCACTGGGGTGAGCCGCAGAAACTGGTGCCGAGAGGATGTCACAGGGACACAGCTCTGTCACATGTGCTGTTCTGTGCATGGTTCACACAGGCTCAGCCATAAGGCTGCTTTTTATGAAAACTTAGAGAGAGATTAAAAGTATAAAAAAACCAGGGAGCCCTGGCCAGGTGGCTCAGTTGGTTGGAGCGTAGTTCGGTTCACCAGAAAGCGGTGGGTTCAGTTCCTGGTCAGGGCACATACCTAGGTTGCAGGTTTGATCCCCAGCTGGGGTGCATACAGGAGGCAACCAATCAGTGTTTGTCTCTCACACATCAATGTTTCTCTCTCTCTCTATCCCTCCCTTCCTCTCTCTAAAAATCAATTAAAAAAATAAAACATATCCTCAGGTGAGTATTGAAAAGAAACACAGCGAGTGGCTGACATGAGTACAGGACCTCGGTTACCTCCGGGGGAAAAGAGGGCACAACAGGAAGGACGCCCAGGGGCTTCTCAGTGTTCACCTCATTATGTCTTTAGCAGGACACGCATGCTTCATTGAGTTCTTTGCATATATATTTCACAATAAAACATTTAGAATATTTTAGAAGTGCAACTAAGTTTAGAATCTTCAGTTAACAAGCACTTCCTGAAGTCATGACACCTTTCCACGACTGGGCCGGTCGATTTTGTAGTGGATATTAGTGCATTTGACTCACTTCTCCAGCTGCACTGTTAGCACTGTACCACACACATCATGTACCCACGAACAGCATGCCCCATGGCATCTGCTGCCCTAGGACGTATACCTCAGCCTTGCCCACCCTGCCTCAGATCTCCTCCCCCTCTCTTGTGGCTGCCCTGTCTCTGTCCCCCTGCAGCCACACTAGTGCCTCTCTGTGCCACTGAGATGCCAATTTCCACCCCTCCAGGTCTTTCCTTGTTTTGCTGTCCCTGTGCTTCCTCAGCCCTGGGGTGAGGGCTGCCTTCTGCCCTCCTGTCCCTGATCCCTCAGCACTCAGCTTAGGTTCACAGCACGGTGCCTCCTCCAGCTCTTGTCCCTGTGGCTAGAGTGTGGCCTCTCAGAGAGTTGCCCAGTTTGAGACAAGTCCAAATGGATCCCCTGATGCAGAGTGGACTGTAGTGTGGTCACTGGGAAAGGCGGCACGATGAACAACAGCTTCCACGGTAAAGTCCTCTAAGCTTTTCTGTTGTTATACCACATTCATTTCTTATTAAGGAAGCAGTTAAAATTGTGACCTACTTTGCCATCTTGACCGGAAGCTCCTCTAGCTTCTTTTTTTTTCAAAATATGTTTTTATTGATTTCAGAGAGAGAGAGAGAGAGAGAGAGAGAGAAACATCAATGATGAGAGTCATTGATCGGCTGCCTCCTGCATGCCCCCCACTGGGGATCGCCCGCAACCTGGGCATGGACCCTGACCCGGAATAGAACCATGACCTGTTTCATAGGTTGACGCTCAACTGCTGAGCCATGCTGGCAGGGCTCCTTTAAGCTTCTTAATGACTACAACCTGTCAGGGATAGGACCCCATTCGCCTCCGTTGAGTAGATGTCACTCAGCATGGAGCCAGGGCTGCTGTGCTGGTACCTTGCATTAGTTAACATACAATATGTTCGGCAGACCTATTGAGAGTCCACTTAAGCGCACTTGGGGCTTG